AGAGTCACAGTAAACTTACCAATGTTGGTAGTAGCTATAGTTGTAGCAGTAAGTGTGTTGAGAGCCATGGTAAACTTACCAATGGTGGGAGTAGTCATACTTGTAGTAGTAAGTGTGTTGAGAGCCATAGTAAACTTACCAATGTTGGGAGTAGTCATACTTGTAGTAGTAAGTGTGTTGAGAGCCATAGTAAACTTACCAATGTTGGGAGTAGCTATAGTTGTAGTAGTAAGTGTGTTGAGAGCCATAGTAAACTTACCAATGGTGGGAGTAGCCATAGTTGTAGTAGTAAGTGTGTTGAGAGCCATAGTGGCAGACGACGCAGTACCTGCAGTAGTAGTTGTGGTAGTCGTAGCAGCAGCAGCAGCAGTAGGAGACTGCAATATAAATCTCTGTATTGTGGTGCCAGGTACTGTTGAAGTGGTTTGAACTTGACTTTGTATAACTGGAGTCTGACCTCTGATTTGAATATTTGTCGGTGCAATAAGCCTCTGACCCTGCACAGCTTGACCCTGGATAACTTGACCCTGACCCCTGACAAGATGAGCCTGTCCAGTTGTGGTCTGGATAATCTGACCTGGTTGCAGTATTTGTGTCTGACCACCCGGAGTTCGAATCACTATTGGCTGTCTAAGTACAAAGGTGCCTGTTGGTAGTGGCTGGCCAGGTTTAGCTGTTGTAACTGCTATTGATGATGTAGTTAGCATATTTGTAGTAGTAGTAGCAGCCCCACTTGCTATGATAGTCTTGGGTTGATATGCTGGAAACTGCTTGTTAACCACTGATAATGTTGTTGGTGTTGAACTGATTTTTGGAATAGTTGATGTTGCACCTAGGAAAGATGGAGAAATTAACAACAATTAAGGGTTTGCATGAAAGCGGCTGCAGACTGTGATGCATAATGCATTCTCTCTTTTATTACTAATAAGGCAACAAATCAAAGTGCTAATTTTAAACTACTTTTTTTTTTTTTTTACAGTGGTGCTTTAATGGGTTAATAAGAAATGTTTTGGTGTAATTAGGAGCCACTTTAACTACTAACAGAATCAAAAACAGCCATATCTCAACTTTTTACAATAAATGTTGTATGGATAATACAAAAACTACTATTTTTAAGCTACTAAAACGGTTTTTAGATTTTTTTCCCCTTATTTATGTTTTATCTGTGAATTACTTAGTACAAATGCATCATGGAAAATAACAATTTCATATACTGAGAATGTATGTCATTGTTTATCAGTTTAACCCCAAAGTCTGCAAAGAATGTGTTTTGTAGGCATAGCTTTACATCAAGTATGATTACATACCTGAAAGTGTCATGGTTACTATCTTTGATGGCAGCTGTGATGTAACTATTTTAGTTCTTGCTGGTATTAGTTTCTTGGTGACAGGCGTGGTAGTAACAGCAGGTGATGATGTAGTAGTAGCTGCAGCTAACGTTACGCCTATAGTTGTGACTGTCATAGATGGTGATGCACTCACTTTGGCAGTAGTCAATGTAAATTTGGCCTGTGTTATACCCGACGTTGTAGATGATATAGTAGTTATGGTCTTTCCATCTCCTTGTAATCGTTTCTGTAAATATAAGACAGGTTAGTTTCAACAATTACTGATATTAAACTACAGACCATGTTTGCTATTACTTGTCATTACTAACTAAGCAAGCAGTATGTCAGCTTATATGACTCTGCTGTTTTAGATGCAGAAATTAAAAGGTTTATCAAAGCAATTAGTCTAGCCATTTTCAATATAAGATTTTTCACTAAAATAGGAAAAAGAGTCCTTAACTTTAATGTAATGTTGGGATCAGTCAATGCACGCCAGAGATACAGCTTTAGAACCACATTTATTAATTTAAAAATAAAATGGCTGTCAATCAACTATTTTGAAAATCAAAATGATGCGCATCAAGGTGCTATGCTATGACTGATCTATGTACAACCTTTGAATGAAATCCATTCATACAGGACCAAGATCTGGTTTCAGAATGACAGAAATGCTTGATTTTGATGAATTTTTAACATTTATATATCGGAATCACATGCCTAAGATTTGGTTCCGTACAACTCAAAATACTTGATTTAAGTGTACTTATACAATAAAGTCTACCATCTTTGACCTAATCACGAAATCATCGTATGTGCATATGTATCAGATAAGAGAATTGGTCTAGGAGTGTCTGAGATACAGCTAGAGAATACCATTAAAGAATTGAAAATATCACCAAAGCAACAAATTTGAAAAAGGTCCACCTGATATTCAATATCAAGCAATCACACTTGTGGTTTTCAAGAAGTTGACAAATTTGAATCGGTCCAGGCATGCCTGAGAAATGTCCAATAAACTGATGTAACCTAATACACAAGTCCTTGTCCAAAGTAGTCTGAAACAAGGAGTAACTATTATAGTACAGTTTAGCAATTTCAAACAGATTTTATTCTCATAAACCATTAAATTGATCAGTCAAGAAATGCCTGACAAAATGGATTAAAAAAACAAAAAAAACAAGAATGTCACAATCCTCGTTATTTGATTATAAAGTAGTACAAAGAACATCTGCAAACAGGTGAATAAATATGTACTCTTTGTGGGTACAACTCATCATAAAATGATTTCCCATAATCACAGTCCCTCTATCTAGCAAATAACGACCCAACAGTTATGGCTTTTGGGTATCAAGAGAATGTCATAAGACTTCAAAAATCTCATCACATGCAGTGCATCACAGGCAATACAGGGAGACACAAGAGAAGGCCATTACAGCAGATAGTAGATGATGCTCCTCTTCCCAAACGGAAGCGTTAGTTCTTCGATAACAATGTAAATAGTAAAAAAACAAGACATACTAATATTGCTGTTTTTTGTATTTATTGTTAGTTGTAAATAAGTTATAAATAAATACACAAATTGTAAATATTAATTTTGCTTCTGTGCTTTCATTGCCATTACCAGGTGTCTTTGCTTATATACAGGAAGAATGTTGATGCGATTAATTTTGAAAAAAAAAATGTTGTGGACATGTGGAACAAAGGACATTTAAACATATATCCCAAGAAGGAAACAGTACTTATCGCTTCACTAACCTTTTCAACACAAGATTTTTTCTTGTACTCTTGAATATTTCTGGAAATTCTAGTCAATTTTATTCGAAAAATTTGGCTATTTTTGTCCAAATCTTATGAATTGGAGACTATAAAAAGGAAACTGGTGGTGAAAAGGTTAAGTGAGTGACTTCCTCAAACCCTTGGAACCTTTGATGTGTGCCTTTTTTTTACTCTTGTACAGTTCCACAATGCTTTTGGCAAAAGAAAAACATCTAATGGTAACATATAGGCGAACCACATTGTTGAGCAAAGTAGCAGCAACTTCATCACTGATCGCCTTCCTTGAAATTGTGGACCACGCTTTGTGAACACATTTTTTCGACAAAATGTCACCAACAAGTGGTTGTTGAATATTTTTTCCATTGTACCCATCAATCTGACAAGTTCTTAGATGTTTTGCGCAAACAATTTCGACGTGTTTGAAAAAAAGGTAACTGGCATCAGAGACAGCAAATAGCCCACCTCTATCTTGTTTAGAAACCCACTGCTTTGAAATATCCGAGACATTTTGAGAGTCATCCCTCATATCATCTAGGATTGAAATGTAGGCCCGGCATTTGATGTTGTCACGTCTGACATATTTTTTCTTTAAGTTGTAGGGAAAGTAACCAGCAAAATATCTGAGTGCCTGCTCTTCCTCAATACTTAGTTCGATTGTACTTGCTGATTCAGCTGTTTCAGACTGGTAGTCCATGGTGTCCCTTTGGGTTCTTGCCAACACTGCTAAGTTAAAAATACATATTCGTACAGTTTTGAACAGTTCATCTATATTTGTGTCACTGGGCAGAAAATCCATAAATACATGAATTAGGTCATCTGTGGTTTTTCTATCTACCCACATATTAAAAAAACCATGCCAAACCATCTCGTTCTGTGCAGAATATGTACGCTCAGAGTCCCCCAGAGACAAAAAATACCAGATCTTCGAAGTTAACTGCTCTATTAAACTCTTCGGCAAGGGAGTGTCACTAGACTGCAAGTTGCAAACCAATGTAGTTGCGATAGTGGTTATTGCATGTCCATGAACTGAATTTTTGACTTTCAGGTTTACGTCTTCTGCAACCTGGTGTAAGGCCTCTATAATTAACCCAGTTAGGTCCCTTTGCAACAACAACTTGTTATACAGTGGGCTGGGTCTGGTAAAACCTGAAACAGAAAAAGTTAATTATTACACATGGTAATTGCATTTTACAGAAATACTTGTAATTTGTGCATTATTCAGTTAAATGTACTTGAATAGTGTTGAGGATTCAAAATTAACAGTTTTACTCTCAATTTACCTGATTTACTTTTTACATTTTCTTTAACTTTTCTTTGTGGATCTATGGATAAACAAAATTAGCAGTTTTGATATACGATGGCACTAGTACTACAAAATAAACATTGCTCTTTAAATATATTTTTATTTTAGGATATTACAATGCTCTTTCTTCATGGATACTAGATGGATAGTAATAATTCATATTCAGTACATTTGAGTTGAAAAAATTATTTATTAAGCTTATCTAAAAAAAATAATCCAGCCCACAAAAAGTTTCTTCGAGCCTATCTCACAAAAATTTATAACATGGCTCTAAGGAGATTAAACCTG